TTTCGTGTTTGGTGTAACATACATGTTCGGCTAAAGCTGATTTTCCCTTGTCTAAAGTTGAAACAGCCTTTTGATGTTCTTTTAGCCGTGTACCAAACTGGCGTTTAGACTGACCATAGTTAATATAACTATGGACTGACCCAAATACTCTTTGTCGCAGTCACCGCATGGTATAGAATATATAGCATGAGTCTTCTGATTTTTTTCAACAGGATCTTTTTTGCCATATTTTCGCAAAGCCAAAAGATCCTGTTGAAAAAAATCAGAAGACTCATGCTATATATTCTATACCATGCGGTGACTGCGACAAAGAGTATTTGGATCAGTCTAAACGCCAGTTTGGTACACGGCTAAAAGAACATCAAAAGGCTGTTTCAACTTTAGACAAGGGAAAATCAGCTTTAGCCGAACATGTATGTTACACCAAACACGAAATTGCGTGTGCAGCTATTATTTCCAGGATTCAACACTTTACAATTACAAACCTGAATTCCTTAAAGCTGATCTATTATGCACTAGTCTATCCATATCTCACTTACGGTAATTTAATTTGGGCACAGTTAATAAAATTTGGTGAAATGCCTATAAATCTCACATTCAAAAACTAGTGAATATCCAAAAAAATTATGAAATATTATATAATTTCCAGTCTTAAATCCGTCTGACCGTGTAGCTCAGTTGGTAGAGCGTCGATCTAGTGATTCGAACTTCGAAGGTCGCGGGTTCAAGATCCAGCCGCGGCAGACAACATCTTTCTGCTTGCGCTGGGTATGGAAATTATATAATGCACACTCTAGAACATTTTCATCTTAACATATTACGGAGTGTACAATTACACAACTTAACATAACACTTGCAGAACTAGTATTGTTCGATGCTGAATTAATATAAACGAGTATGTTTATGACATTCAGTATATATTTCATAATTTCCAGTCTTAAATCCGTCTGACCGTGTAGCTCAGTTGGTAGAGCGTCGATCTAGTAATTCAAAGGTCGCGGGTTCAAGACCCAGCCCGCGGCAGACAACATCTTTCTGCTTGCGCTGGGTATGGAAATTATATAATACACACTTATATAGAACATTTTCATCTTAACATATTACGGAATCATGTTTCGCTCGCTACTCTGGTTTAAATAAATGATTACAAAGCCCAGTCGAATTGTAATCAAGACCCAACGTTTCGACACTCCAGTCTAGTGTCTTCATCAGGGGTGATCTAAAACTGCGATCGTGGCTTCTTAAATACCCAAGGGATGACGTCACCTGCCAAGAAGATGCATATATTCCTCTGGCAAATAGGCGCCGTCGCAAATTTTTTTTCCGTAGACAGTCGGACTCCTCATTGATAGTCGGACGCATCATTGACCCGCGCCCTTAAACAAAACATTCAGCGGATACTCTACTTATTAGATGCGCCTTCCCAGTGTGTCTTGCGCACGCAATTGGCTTCATTATCTTGTGTGGTGATGAGTGATGACATCTGACATATTTTCGCGTCTGATATATTCGCCATTCCCACTTGCTTTTCGTTGCTTCTGTAACTCTTTATAAGTTTCATTGTTTTCGATTCCATAATTCTGGGGAAAAAACATTGCAATATCTTCCGGAGCGATTGCAGAATACCCGTCCACTTTTTAAGCTATGCCTTTCAAACATCATGGATACGATGTATTATTACATCTATATTTATTACTCCGGGTACTGTAAGTACCGGAGTATTAAAATGTCAGATCTTTTTTCTTAGGGGCGGACCATTAGAAATCCCGGGAGGGGGGTATAACATTTTTGCGGCACGAATTTTTTTTTCAGTCTCGTGTCTCTGCAGGAATTTTTTTAATGCATTTAACCTCTGCACGAATTTTTTTTCAAGACTATTTCTACTTCGCTGTTTGCTTGCACGAATTTTTTTTCTCGGACGTAATGGCTGCACGAATTTTTTTTCCAGGCATTTT